ATGATAATTTTAGAAATTTGAAGATTTTCAAGGAGCCTAAAGTGTGTGAGTATCAAATATAAGATCATAAGCATCTAAGTTGTCGTACCAAATGCAGAAATTATAAATATTTATACAATATATCCAACCATCTCAGATCTATATATTTGAGCTATAATTGTCGGTGGTAAATAGCTTTAGATAATTTGAATAAGATTAGACTATTAGGTTTAATGCATGTTTATTGTCAAGAATTTGAGTGTAAAATTAGCGTTTAGAATTGGATTGGATCCTGTTAGTTCAAAATTTTGAGTAGAAGTCTTTTTAAAATTAGGATCATAATTCTGCATTGCAATTCCAGTAAATTACAAAATTATTAGTTTGAGTCCTTGTCAATTCTTAGCCAATATATACTATATATTTATAATTATTAATATTATATTTAAGAATTAACTGTGTCAAAATGAGTATTGAATACAATACGTCCAAATAATCCTGTAAAATATCTAAGTCAGGCTAACAAAACTAAAGTAAAAAAAAAAAAAAAACTTTTGAGCTACCCTGCTAGCCTACAAGCCCAAAATTATTATTCTTTTTTTTTCTAAAATTTCTTAAATATTACTTTAAAATAAACAAGTATTATTTTTAAGTATTAAAAATTCCAAAAATTTTGATATAAATTAGTTTAAATTTTAATATAAGTTAATCAAATAAGTTATTTCAAATTCATATTCTTAAAATCTAATATAAATAATATGAAGAATGGAAGCTCATAATTCAACTCAAATGATTCATAACTATCTATGAGCTGAGTTGGGAAATAATTTAGTACTAAGTCCACCAAATGAGCCAGTTAATTCAAAGTAATACTTTTATTAAAAATCAAAATCATGCAAAACCTGAAACCAAAACACATGCATCTATTTTAATGACACTTCTTGAGGCAAAGTTAGTGAATTCATCAACATCGTTTGTGGCAAGAATGAAGCTAATAAAAGTGATGTTACCTACACAAATAGTTAAATCATGGGAATGACATTGACAATTAGTCCTGAAGGCTTGAGTAGTTATGTGTCATGAAATAGTTTATAAAAATTATATTGTAAGTAAGGAAATTTATAATTTTTATATTATTAAAAATTATAAAATAATAAAATAATAAAATTAATTGAGAGTTTATAGATGCAGTTAAAAAGCAACGAATCATGTAAAACTTATGTAATTTTTTTTCTTTTTTATGTAATGTTTCTTGAAATAGAGAATGCAGAGACATTGTCGTCTCTCTTTTTCTACCAATGTCATATATTAAGTTATTTTAAATATAATTCTTGGTTTTAAATTTATATGAATGTTATGTATATTATTAAACTTGAATATATTATTATTTAATTATAAACATATACTAATTTATTATTCAATATAATATATAAAATTAAATAAGGTGAATCATAAATCAGAAACTTCACTTGTTTAATGGTTATCCCATTTCTTGCGATCCTTGTTTATTCATCTCACCTACCAACCAGTGATTCCTAACCAATCTCATAAAATATTTGTTTGTGTATAGTTTTCTTATAACTCCATTTATAGGCTCACATGTTAACTTATGGTGGCTAAGGAAGGGTTGTTTGTGTATATATAGTAAAAGTAAAAGTAGCCTTTTAACATATAATAATTAACATCTATCGACAAAATAATAGTCTGCATAACTTACCGAAAGAAAAGAAACACTTCACTTACATAACAAAGTACACTTCTCACATTGGCTTGACTGTGTTTATATATGGTTCATAACTTCCCAATAAGTACTTTTCTACCTATTGACTTAATATTTGAAATTGAGCAATCAAGTTTTGGCGTGGAGCACAGTTTTTTAATTGCTAGTGAAGTGAATATATAACTTAATTCCACTTCTGTCCAACTGGAGAAACTTAAAATGATTATATTAACATTTTGGAAATCATGCAAAACTATTTTTCTTATGGCCTATAAAAGCAATTTCAAAATCACATATTTAAAGGATATGACTTCCACTTAGCCCAGTACATGTTGGTATAGCAAAGCTATTTTGTAGTAAGACTTCCAATTTTAAGGAATTATGCTCTTTTTTTCTCGTTATTTTGAATTCGAATGCTGGGATGTTGTAAAAAACAATGTTACTTAAATTAGCATAAGTTCTCTAATCTTAATATGGAAATGTATGCTTGAACACCTTTAGAATGAGAATATTGAAAATCTACCCAATTTTACCGTACCTGAAACCACAAAAAAAGTGCATATATATTCTTTATCACACACACACACACACCAGCTAGCATGCATACTCGATATCTTAACATGTGTTTGAGCTTTTTGGAGAATCAGAGCTAACTCCCAAAAGGTTATATATATGGTTATAACAAGTAGTCTGAATTGTAAATGTTGGATATCTAAATTACAACATATATTACTTTATCAATCAAGAAAATATGTTGCAATGATTAAAGTACAAACAAAAATGTCTTAGTTGAAAGGATTCCTTCAGCAGCTAGGAATAAAGGTGGAAAGTGTGTCATTCATTTGTTTGTTGCATTTGTAAAAATTGAAGATTCCTTCGTTTCAATTTTCTGATTTGTGGGTTTTTTTGTTCATTTTTAATACCATTTTTGCTGTGTTCCATTTTAATTTAAAATTGTGTTGATAAAGTGTAAAAATTGGACCATTTTCCTCTTAAGCAATCATATTTGTATTAAAAATGGTTTTTGAATTGGAATACCAGCTCACTCTGTTCCAACTATACAACCAAGTTTTAGAACTATTGCTTATCTGAAAAAGCAAGTTAAACAGTCCTGCTGGAGTTGCTCTAACCGGAATAACGTGATATCAATTTAATTCAATTATTTCTGAACATTTTGTACAAAGATTATGTATGGAGTAAATTGACATAACTTTACTTTTAACTTTAAGGATCAATTCATGCCAATCTCGTATTTCAAGAATAAAATAGTATTAGATTAGTTATTGGTTGAAATTGTTTTCTTTAAACTAAAAAATGTTTAGTGTCTTAAACTTGAAATTGTTTCTTTACTTTTAAAGAGCAACCCGTTTAACTAAAAATCAACTTTGCAAACACTCAAACAAATACAAGTGTTTGGAGGGAAATACATTGGTATATCTTCTCTACTGTACAAAAACCTAATAATCATTCTTACAGTCCAGAGGTCTAACTTCATCCTTGGAACATCCAAGGAATATTTGGCAAGTTGTTTGGTTCTCATTAATTTGTAACATGGTTTTAATTTATGTTTAAAAGCATGTGAATCTATGTTTACTTTAACGTTATTAATTATTATTTGTTTTAGATCTACATTTTTAATGTGTTTCAAAACCAAGTGATTTTCTCTTCAAAAAGTATAGATATTATCTTGGTTATAACTTCTTGTTACAAGCTAAAACGCCTTATTTTAACTATTTCTAATTCTAAGTTGTCTTTCAATCTTGCAGCTTGCTTGAATGTAGGTTTATCACTTCTAATTATTTACCATATACCATAGTTTTTGTAGTTCTGTGAAGAGCATGATAAAGTGTGTGACAGGCTAAAATTGGTGCATGGAAGGTGGATAACGGAACGTAGGTGTTCTCATACAGGTTTAATTTACTTGTGGTATTATCAACAGGAGGCCAACTTAAACCCTGCACCGTTGATTATGGGGTTTGCTATATCCTTTCACATATTTTTTTTAATGATTCTCCTATATTTATGAACTTAAAAATATAAAAATTATTTAATAGTCTTTTATTTAGTAATTAAAAATATTAAAGGCATACAAAGTAAAAAGTTTTATTCTTATTATTATTTGTTTATATAAAAATATAAAAAAAAAATTGAACCTGTGTATTACCTTGTTCATATACTTAGTTAAGCAACCAAGTAAAGAAATGTGGCAATTTCATTAGCTTCGCGTAGCAGCTTCTATGACTCATCAGGTGTTCTAAATAGCAAGATTGTACTTTGGGTAGTATACGCATAGCATGATTTCGGCTTTTGAATAGTTGTATGATAGTTGAGGGTGGGATTGCTAATTCTTAGGTAGCTTTTAACTAATGTGTTGTATGATGTGCCAGAGGACGATAATTGCCATCTTATGTTGAGTATTTTTTCACTTAAGTACTTATTTAATAATTTTTTTAAAATTATGAAATTTGTTAAAATAAGTTAAAGATAATTTATTTTGATAAGTTATACTAAACATTTTATTGGAGTAAAAGAAACAACTTATTAAAATTATAAATTATTTTTAATAACCGGAAAATAGAGCTAGCACTGCATGTACCAAAGGAGAAAAAAAACACCCAACATCTCTTAAGGGTTAAGGATTTGTTTTTTGGTCAACAAAGCTTAAGCATTTTCCGTTGTTTAAAAGGCTTAAGGAGTTTATTTGAAGGTGGTTTACACCGGTGGTTGATTAAAAAAAGGGAAAAAAAACTTAACAATAATTGAATTTAGCTTATTTCAGACTATGGGCCTTGGTGCTTCACCCATTTTATTCCACTCCAAGTTGGGCTCAAAACAGGAATACCAACTGTGTGGGCTTATTCAAACAGGAATGGACTTTGACCCAAATACACAAAGGGGGTACAGGATCCCGGGCTGGCTCATTTAAAGAAGTTGGAATAAGTAGAAAGGGCAATCATGGAAAAAGTGCAGTGGAGGCGATTTGAACCAATTTTAGACAAAATATCATACGATTTTATATCTTTTTTAAAATGCATATTTCATTACAGAGGATGTTTGGTTTTCAATAGGGATCTGTATGTAACCTTTCTATCCTCCCCATGAGCACAAGGAAATAAGAAAGCGAGATTGGGGGCAAAATGAACTGACTGAAGTCAATTGAACTATATCTTTTTCCTCACTTGAATTGCATAGGAATAAGTATGTTTTTTTTAGTAATAATCAACGTGTCCTTAAATTAATTTATTAATTTATTTTGCATTCAAAACTACTTGCAATTAAATGCTAAGCAAGAAAGTAATAATCAGTACCGTGCTCTCTTCCATTTCATTTTACGAAGGATTTAGGAACAAGGCAGAAAACCAGTGCAGAATAAAATCAATAATGTAAATCATCACTAAAAATCTAAATGAGTTTAACAAAACTGTAAGATTCAACCGAGTAAGCCATCCACAATCTCTTCGTTCATATTTACCTTCTGAAGTTCTTCAAAGGTGATAAAAGAAAAAAAGAAAGTATATTTACTTACTTCACAAAAGCAAGTATTACATTATAAATACAACCATACCTGAATCTCACTGTGAAATGCCTTTCCTAAATTATATTTTTCATTCCAAAAAGGGGGCCTATATATATATATATATATATGCTTTCATGTCCAAAGGTAAAATCTATCTATTCTTCCGAATAAGATTCTCCATCACCGCTTGCTATGAGAAACTGTCTGTTTGGTGAAAAAAACAAAAACATATTAAACGAGAGCAAGAATACAGAACTATTGCAATTATCTGAAACTATTCAACCTATACAGTAGTAATTCATTCTACTATCTATGCTTTTCTTTAAAACTTATTCAAGATTTAAAAGAAGGGTCCAACAATTAATAACTAGAGAAATGCCATTTGTCTGATTCAACTGATTGGCATTACCCAATGAATAAAGGTCAAAAAAGTCAACGAAAACTGAAAGTAACGCTCAAAAGATGCCACCAAGTATGAATGGACATAAACGTCAATTAAAGGAAAGTATACCTGCAAAATTAATCTAAGTAGACATGAAAAACATATTTATTTATATAATATCTTCAAGAGAAATTGAATTTTAACTTATTATTACTATATCAAATTTTTTTAAATATGGAGACAGCAAAAAAAATTTTAAACATTTTTGACAATGAGAAAACATTACATATATATATACAAGAAAGCACAAATCCTGTTACGAAAAATTGAGATGCATGCCAAAAATTGTGCAATTTCTTTTTGCATCTAAACCATTTGAATGATAATACAGATTATTAATATTAAAATAAATCATAAAAATCATGACTAATTCTCAGATTATATAGTATTTTAAGTATAAAAAAAAGGGTTAAATAAACAACTGCATGAATGCAGATTACAGCTACTTCAAATAAGGACCTGATGCAGTAGGTTTTTATGGCAAGGAGGAGATGGGCGTTTTGAACACTGGAGACATAAATGGGATTATGGGACATCATACAAAAGTTAAACCTCAATAAATATAAAGAAAACTACTTTTCTTTTCAATTTAACACAATGCAAACAAGAGACTGTAATAAGCAATAACATCCAACTTTGGCTCTTCTAATACAAAATACTTATATGGAGCCATAGTATGACGTTCCAAATTCATGCTATGGGAATTTTTGGTCTTTTGGTTGGAGAAGGGGGTATATATGTTGCGAGGTGCTGTTGCACAAATTGCACCGCCTACACCATATCTGTGTTTAAGGAGGGGAAAAAAGAATAGCTGATAGTAACAGCTGTCTGAGAGACAATCCAGTTTTTGCTTCATAAAAGCTGTGCACAGTAAATTTTGGTTCCAAACGAGAAAAGCATACAGCTGAATGTCAAGGAATTTGGACAAAATGTTATATCATATGCAACCAAGAATCCACGATGAACTCTTGCCAAATCTTATAATGAAATTCTCTCTTTCTAAAACAACAGCATACCTAATAGGACCAAAACCACATATCAGAAATCCCGTCTTGGGCTTTTAAAAGTAGACACATAAATACCAATACTATAAATTGTGAGGTTATGTGGAATTCCATCATTCTGTCAAAAAGAAGATAAACCCAAGTACTCGGTGGAAGTGTGGCACCGATAATAAATCGAGAAATGTCTGTGAAAATAACATTCAAGTACACCGAAAATGAGTAACAGAGCACAAGTGAATCTTATTAGTACATCCAACTGAGTAGCACATATAAGTGGGGCCACTTCAACCTCAGTAAACAACTTTTTGTTTTTCAGAATAAAGCAAAAGAAACAAATTTATATCCATCACAATCCCAAGGGCAACATATATAGTAAAAACACGCAACGGATCAAAACATTTTGCCTTCAGCAAAACAGATTTGTTTCAAACAATAAATAAAAAACAACAATTCTTTCAAACTTCAGTTTGATTAAGGATTCGCGCAACCTAAACATCAGTTCAGCACATAAATTCCTAAAAGCCAATATATTAATATGAAACGCGGAAAAAGATCAACCCTCTCAAGTTCCCATGCACTTCCACTAGTATAAACTACATACAATTAATTTAAAAAAAAAAAATCCCATGCGTTCCACAACATTTAACACTAAAAACCAGGCCATAATTCAAGCAAAAAACAAACAACCCGTCGGTTACCATCACTAACTACATCAATTTCCCAACTCCAGCAAGCGATAACAAAAGACTCAGCATTAGCAGACAACAACATCACAGTACAGAACTATTAGTAAAGTGTTCTAGTGACAGCAAACTATTAAAAACACAAACACATAATTATTAATAGAAATTATAAATAAACATGAAAAACAGAGAGAAGAAAACTGACCAGCTCCAGAAGAACGTTTGGAGCGTTTGATTTTCTGCAACTGAGCCTGCGTTTCCATGAAAAGCTGCATTCTCTGGCTCTCCAAATCCTTAGTAAATTGCATTCTCTGTTTCTCCAACTCCACCATTTGCCTTTGCTTCATACCTTCCACTCTCTCGTATATCTCGCCGAACCTCTCTATAGCTTGAGCAAGTTCTCTGTACCCAAATTCCCAATCCCTATCACTCTCTCTCTCTTTCTTCCCACTCCCCGAACCACCGCTACTCGACCTCCAACCCTCCGACTCGCCGCTCTCCGCCTCCGCCGCAGCCGCCGCCGCGGCGGCGAACGCCGAGAAATTCCGCCGGAAGGTCGAGTCCTCCCTGGCCGGCGCCGGAGCCGGCCGTTTCTGAGTTCCGGATCGGGGACCGACGGGATGTGAAGGTATCCACGCCAGCGGCTGCGGCTGCAGCGGCGGTTTGGCGGCGGGCGGCGGAGAAAGCTTTTTGGCCGGAAAAGTGTCGCCGATGAGGGCGTCGAGGCGAGAGAAGAAAGGCCAGGGGCTGAGATAGCCGGAGTGCGAATCGGAAACCCTAGCTTTCTCGATCTTGTACTTCTTCTTGAGGGTGTCGATGCGGTTCTTGCACTGAACGTCGGTGCGGAACGGTTTCTTGCTGTTGTTGCTGACGTGACGGTGGTTTACGGCGTCGGCGACCTCCTGCCAGTGTTTCTGACGGAGGTTGCCGCGGTTGAGCTCAAGGTAGCGCTCGCCCCAGGCGTCGATGAGGGTGAACGTCGCCTCCTCGCTCCAGCAGTCTTCCCGGCCGGGGAACGGCGATGACGACGGAGGACGCGGCGGAACAACCACGGCGGTGGACGGAGCTCCGGCAACGGAGTCCATTAGCGGCTTTTGTTTTGTCTTGTTTGGAACGGAAAAGAGAGTGAGTTAGGAAGCCAACTTTGGGTAATATTTTACGAAGTTGTATACAACGATAGTCGTTTACCGTGCGGGAAAACACATTCCATTGTTCTTTCTTCTGTTTTCCTCTTCTTTTTTTTTTTTTAGCCAAATGTTGCTGCGTTTTCGATTGGCCCATGGGCCCGGTTTATTTTTATACAGGCTTAATTGCACGTTTATATTCCTTTCATAAATATGATAAAATAAAAAAAATCTATGAATTAAATAAAAATAAAATTTAATACAATTTCATTTTATTTAATATATGTGTAATGTATATTAAGATAATAAAAGGTGTAATGTCAAGTCTCTTATCCAACATTTAAGATAAATAAAAATAATAAAATAATATATAAATTGTATTAAAATGATAAAATTATTATAATTTTTTAAACTTTAATTTAATTTTGTGAATTTCTAATAGAAACGTGTATAGATATTAAAAAACATTTATATTCAATTATAATATTTTTATTAAGAATAAGGTTTTATAAAATTGACATTGATAATATTTAAAATTATAATAAAAAATAATGAAATGAGTAAAATATGCATTATAAAAATTATGAAAATTTTATTTTTATTAAAAAATTATTTTAAGAATAATTAAAATTTTTAATAAAATTTTAAAAAATGCCTGACACATTAATATGGAAGTAAAATGTTATCTTTATCACCATGATTGTTTTCGTTGTCATGTTTTTTTAGGACACGTTGAAGATTGTACTCATTATATAATAATTTGTGAGGCTATGAGATTTTTCAATCGTAGTAGTTATATCATTCATTTTATTAATTTTGCATAATACTATTTCTTAACAACCTTGTAGTATGTGTCCTTGAAAATAAAATGGTGTTTTATAAAAGGTGTCACAAATTTAATAATTACACCATTGTCTACTTTGGTGATGTAATGACTTCAAATAATGCTCAAAATATTTAAAGTAGTTATTGCATATTAGATTTTAATGGATAAAAAATATTAAAAAAACAATATAATATCAGTAAATTTTAATAGTAAGATGATTATCAGGAAGATAATTTGTTTAAATTATTTTTTAATAGACTTTAATGAACAATTTTAAATTTTTTTACCTTTCATATCTAAAAATTTTTAATCATTAAATAAAAATAAATAAATGCTTTGTATATTTTCAAGAAAATAAATATATGCAATTTCTCATTTAATTCTTACTTTATAAAGAAAGTAACGGACATAACAACTATTTTTAAATTCTTAAATTAAGTATTTTATCCTAAATTTTTTTTTGCAATCATTAATAAAATAAAATATATTATTAATTTATAAAAAATGCATAGATATTTATATAAAAATAATTTTATTGTATCTGTACTAATTATATAATAATTTGTGAGGCTATGTGATTTTTCAATCGTAATAGTTATAACATTCATTTTGTTAATTTTCCACAGTACTCTTTCATAGAAACCTTGTAATAGGTGTTGTTGAAAATAAAACTGTGTTTTAGAAAATGTGTCACAAATTTAACAATGACATCATTCTCTAGTTTAGGGTTTACTTTCTTCTCTTAGTGTAATGACTCTAAATAATGCTCAAAATATTTAAGGTAGTTATTACATTATTATATTTTGATGGATAAAAAATATTAAATATATATATATATAATATTGGTAAATTTTAACAGTAAGATGATTATTCAAATTTTTAAAATAAAATTTTAATGGACTTTAATAAAAAAAAAGTACCCTTTTTACCGATAATTTTAATGAATAATGCTCTATATATTTTCAAGAAATATATATATAATATTTCTCATTTAATTCTTTCTTTATAAAACAAGAAAAGGACACGACAACTATTTTTAAATTATTTAAATTAAGTCATTTATTCTAAAAATTTATGCAACAATTAATAAAAAATAATACAGTATTAATTTATAAAAAACTAAGAAATATTTATATAAAATAAACATATAAAAATAGTTTTATTATAGTTGACACATTTTATATGTTTTTTTATTTGAGTAATTTATACACGATAATAACACATCACCTCTCTATTGTATTTTAATTTATTATTTGAAGAATTTGATTTAAACAGTTAAAAAAACTAAAAAAATGAAATTGTATATCGATTAAAGTACATAAATTAAAGGTGTGATGAAACTATTTGTATATTTTGCTGTTTGATAGGCCTGTGAGGGGCTTGAGATGGGCCTAACGTGGGCTACGGAGTATATTTTCTTACAGGCCTTGGTAGCTGTGCTTGGGATTGGGGTTCATATTGTTGGGCTTTTGGTAGGATCTGGATTCAGATAATAGCAAAGAGAAGAAAACACCTTTTCAATAATGAATCATACGGATATTGTATTAAGGGTCTTGAAATTAGTTGAAATTGTAATGTAAATGCTTCCCCTAATAGTGTTTGTTAGAGTGATTAAAATATGCAACTTAGGTCCAAAATATTTCATACATCACAGCTTATAATATGAGTATGAGTATGGTTGGTTGGATAGTATTTTGACCATGACATCTAAGATCAGTCAATCAAATTATTTTGCTACACCAAAAACCATTACATTTCAAAAAGAGAACAGTAAATGTTATAATAAAGTTATGGTAATTTTAATGAAATCTTATCTGAAATGAATGGGTCATATGTGGACCCTTGAAAACGTGGTGACAGATTTCTGAAGCACCAAAACCAAAGCCTTGACTCATTTTCATTCTCTCTCTAAACAGATACATCGAATTCACGTGGGTCTGCATGTTCCTAACAAAACCCCTCACTACCCATTAATAGCACTCACTACCTTATTCAAACACTTCTCTCCAATTGCATCTTACAACCTCAGAAAATTTAAATACGAAAAAAGAAAAAGAAAGTTGGAATTATCTTACCGGAGAATGGCTGCAACCCAAGACGGCACCACCGTTAGTCACTTGCCAGAGGAGATCCTGCTCAAAGTTTTCGCCGCCGTCTCCGACCCGCGCACCAGGAACTCGCTTTCCCTCGTGTGCAAGACCTTCTCCCGCTTGGAACGGAAAACGCGAACCTCCCTCACGCTTCGTGGAAACGCGCGTGACCTTCACCTCATCCCTAATTGCTTCACCGACGTCACGCACCTTGACCTTTCCTTTTTGTCACCGTGGGGCCACGCGCTTCTCTGTTCCTCGGCCACCGCTACCTTCGATCCCCGCCTCCTCGCCCTACGCCTCCGTGACGCCTTCCCGCGCGTCACCTCACTCGCCGTCTACGCGCGAGACCCAACTACTCTCCAACTGCTCCTCCTCTCCCCCTGGCCGGAGCTCCGCCACGTGAAGCTCGTCCGGTGGCACCAGCGCCCGCCGACGTCGCAAGCGGGATCCGACTTCGCGACGCTGTTCTCGCAGTGCCGATCAATTGTCTCGCTGGACCTATCGTCGTTCTACCACTGGCCGGAGGACCTACCGCCGGTGCTGGCAGCAAACCCCGTCGCCGCCACCTCGCTCCGACGGTTGAACCTCTTAACGACGTCGTTGACGGAGGGATTTAAGGGATTTAAGTCTCACGAAATCGAATCCATCACCGCGTCGTGCCCTAACCTGGATCACTTTCTCGTGGGTTGCACCTTCGATCCGAGGTACATAGGATTCGTCGGGGACGAGACGCTGTTGGCTATCCCTTCGAATTGCCCCAAGCTCTCACTGCTCCACATGGCTGATACGTCGTCGTTTTCGAACAGGAGAGAGGAAGAAGGGTTGGGTGGAGAAGACGCTAGGGTTAGCCGTGTAACGCTTGTGGCGTTGTTCTCTGGACTTCCTCTACTGGAAGAGCTTGTATTAGATGTTTGTAAGAATGTCAGAGAGAGTAGCTTTGCGTTGGAAGTGTTGAGTTCGAAGTGCCCTAATTTGAGGGTTCTCAAGTTGGGTCAGTTTCAAGGGATTTGCTTGGCCCTTGAGTCTAGGCTTGACGGAATTGCCCTTTGCCATGGCCTTCAATCCTTGTCTGTTAGTAACTGTGCGGATCTTGGTGACATGGGGTTGATTGAGATTGCTAGAGGGTGTTCCAGGTTAACCAGGTTTGAGCTTCAAGGTTGCAAGCTTGTTACTGAACAAGGGTTCAGGACTTTAGCTTGTTTGCTTCAAAGGACTCTGATTGATGTTAAGGTTTCTTCTTGTGTCAACCTCGACACTGCAGCGACTCTCAGAGCTTTGGAGCCCATTCAAAACCGTATTGAGCGGCTCCATGTGGATTGCGTGTGGAATGGCTTGCAAGAAAGTGACAGCCTGGGACATGGGTTTTTCAATTTTGACCTTAATGGTTTGGATGAACTGGGTGATGGTGGTGAGTTCATGGATTACTTTGGAGATGGGGAAGGTGAAAACACCGGCAAAAGGAAGAGGCAGAGATGCCAATACGATATGGGAGTTGATGATGCCTTCTTGCAAAGCAATGGCAATGGTTTCTATGGAAAGAGTTGGGACAGGCTGCAGTATCTTTCTCTTTGGATAAGAGTTGGTGATCTGTTGACTCCGTTACAAGTGGCAGGATTGGAGGATTGTCCCAATCTGGAAGAGATTCGTATAAAGGTAGAAGGAGATTGCAGAGGACAGCCGAAACCGGCAGAACGGGAATTTGGCCTGGGCATTCTAGCTTGTTATCCGCAGCTATCGAACATGCAGCTGGATTGTGGTGATACTAAAGGTTATGTTTACACGGCGCCATCGGGGCAGATGGATTTGAGCCTGTGGGAGAGGTTCTTTTTGCATGGGATTGGCAGTTTGAGTCTGAATGAGCTCCATTACTGGCCCCCACAAGATGAGGATGTGAACCAGAGAAGTCTGTCACTTCCAGCTGCTGGCTTGTTACAAGAATGTTATACTCTGAGGAAGCTCTTCATTCATGGGACAACTCACGAACATTTCATGAATTTTTTCCTTAAGATACAAAACCTAAGGGATGTACAGTTGAGGGAGGATTATTATCCGGCGCCGGAGAATGACATGAGTACAGAGATGAGGGTGGGTTCGTGCAGCCGCTTTGAAGATGCACTGAATAGGCGTCGAATCTGCGATTGACATGTAATATTGCTCAAGCCCTGACCGAGGAATTGCTTGGATGTAGAAACCGAAAGGATAGAGATCATTTGTTTCGGAGTTTTACAGTCAATTTTTAACATCATCCCCGTCTTTAACTTATTTCTGTTTTCTTTCCTTTTTTATACTGTAACAATGAGACTCGTGTCCAATGTTTTAGTCAAGAATAATTCATTCTATACGGATTAGAAATTAGATTTTGTTACTTTTTTTTCATAGCACTGAAGATGTGGGTGATGGATTAACATTCTTTCATTGCCCCACAAAAGAGGTTGCATCAAGTGTACGATCAGGAAAGCGCTGACGCTTGTTTCAATATGTTGAGATATAGAACAAAATTCATAGTTTACATCAGCCGAGAACACAAAGTAACAACTCTACCCAAAGTTTACTATGTACAAAAGATAAAACACTGCATCAGCATTCAGCACATTGAGTACTCGATGTCCACCAAACGAGAGAGGATCTCTTCACAACTTGGCCGCTCTTGTGGTTCCGCCCAACACTCTGCACACGAAAGTCAAGCAACCAAGTTAAATTAGATGTCTCGACCAAAAAAAATGTTGAACTAGATAGGATCTGAATGATGCGATTAATATAACAGGATTAATAGCAGTAGAAAAAGTCCTCGAATCAAGTCATAAATATTTTGGCAGGTGCAGAGACCTGAAATCAGCCTGCCCAGCGGGCCTTCAGGAATCTCCAATCGGGAAGCCTCATTAGCAACGGTATAAACCACCTAATCAAATTTGAGAAGAAAATTCGGTAAAGAAGCAACCTCGAAATAAAAATCTTCATAGAATATGAGTAAATCGTCTGTCAAACATACCCTCTCTGGTGGTACGCCTTCCCATGGTCTATTCAAGGTGCAGAGCTCCCACATTATCACTCCCAGGCTGAAGATATCGCATTTTTCAGAGAATGGTTCATTCCTAATAAGTTCAGGAGCCATCCATTCCGGGGTTCCAGCTGAAGAAGAATCTCTCATGGGAGAATCTGTTATTATTCTTGAAAGTCCAAAATCACATATTTTCACTGTCCAATGCTTGTCGACAAGACAATTCGCACTTTTCACGTCACGGTGAATGATCTTCATTCGATGTATGTGCATCAGGCCCCTAGTCACGGCCAAGATGTTCTTGTCAATGTTTAAGTTGTGAACAGATCAAATGCAATCTTACTAATATCAGCTTTCAAAAAAAGATAATCCACGAAATTGACAATAGTAATACAGAACATACAATTTCAGTAACAAGTACGTTTAAATTGACAATAGTAATACAGAAGATGCACGATCATCTGGCATTAACATATTGAGGTAATATAAAAATTAAGATCGGAATTTCTGATGAGTTGGTAAATTCCATTTCTTTTACATTGGGGAAAAAAATTAGAAGTCAAATTTCACTGCCTCATTCACTATGGTAGGATTCGTCTCACTATTCAACAAGGCTGCATGAATAAATTTATTTTACTACTGCCCCTGTCATCAAATATATGTTATAAAGTAATGGAAAACAGAAAAACAACACAGATTTCTCACATAAACGTTTACCTATATTGGAAAACAACGGAGAGAATAAATGGATGTGTTCAATGAGTAGAAGGCTCTTAAAGTTATGCATTAACCAGAATGCTTACCTGCATATATCACGCAACATCTGTAGTCTTTTCCGCCAGCTAAGCTTCTTTTTTTGACCGCTCACATGAATCAAGTAAAACAAAGACCCCATCTCCATATATTCAGTCACCATTGACAAGCGTGGAGGCTTTGTGCAAGCACCAAGGAATAGGATTACTGCAAAAAATGTATCACTTGATAAATAACTGATATCATTTTTAGAATCTTAGTCAAGGAAGGATTTGGTATTTATTCCAGTCACCAAAATAAACAATAAACTTAGATTGTCTTGCATAAATTTTCATATCTACAAACAAAATGTACAAGATCAATTAGTGAAAAGCCCCATATAAATAACTAGTTAGAATGATAGAGTGTACCATTAGGATGTCGGAGCCGGCTGGAGAAAAGAAAGACACAAAGAAATAGTCTGGGAGTCAGCAAATGTTATATGTAACAAAATATAGCTGACGAATGGAAAATTAATGCAAAATACCTGAGAATGGATATCTCATTGCAGAAATCTTCCATGTTTTCAGTAGTTAAATCTTGCTCTAGGAAAACCTTGATTGCAACATCTGTGCCATTCCATATGCCTCGGAAAACCTCTCCGAAGAATCCTGGAAAAGAATAGAGCATTCAAATTCCAAAAATTTATATGGAGCTAGTTTTCCTCAGGGTAGTTCAAATCATGAATTTTATGGGATAGTTTTTGAATTGTCAACAGTAGAGTCCGTAAGAAATTAAACATTGACTAATAAATTGAGCTAACACACTTTCAATAATAATGGCAAGGTATCTAATTTTATTTTTCCCCCAATTACTGAGACTCCAATTCTCATTTCTTTAAAAATCCCAAAAGCTCAATTTTCTCTCCTATCATGTTTGATAAGTTTCCGTTCCTCAATTACTAATTCTTAGCTATATTTCTTTATTAATTTATTGATTATTTAATATCTTTTCACCTCCTTTGGCTGAAACTTACATATAGTTCTTCCATTTCTTTTTCCTTATTCTTCATGTAAAGGATATCCACACCCAGACAACTCAGCCTTGAAATCGTTGAAAGAAAAATTTAGTGAAGGTTTTTTGAGGCTTCAGCTCTTCAATTTAAAATCAGACAATGGAAAAACTAGGATAGTTTCTAGTTGGCCGAGACAGATCTGAACCAGATCTGTCCCAATCAAGCACAAATATGTGAAAATCCAACCTCATGAAATAGGTTGAGTCAAGTTATCAGCCAGAAATTGATTTGCAGCCATTTCAGAAATTCAGCCATAGAAAAATCATCAGTAATACTAAATCGCACTGCAAAAAACATGAATTGCGATTTCAATAACCATGAGGTGAAAGCTGAAACTTACCAATCCCAACACGAGTTCCCACAGTCAATTCTGAGAAATCAATATTCCATTCTTCATATGGTAACAGAGGTCTATTATTGAACATTGGTGATTCAAGAACTTTATTCCAAGTAGACTCCAGTTCATCATTCATTACATATCCAGACAGCTCGCTTCTCTCAGAAGCTTGTCCTCTATAATCATGTGGTGAAGAGGGTAATGATATTGCCTTTTGAGAATTTACATGGTTACCGTGAAGCGAATATAAGGGGGACCTTTCATGACCATCAAGATGAAAGTCTGACACCTGTAATATTGCAATAGAGGAGGAATCATATGCGACAAACTTCGTGTTTTTAAAACGGAAGCTAATGCAATTTTTTTATTTATAATTCAGGCGTTAAATACTATAATCATCAACAATGAAGCGTATTACATATTCTATTTCCAATTATGGTAAACTAAATTATACTATAGCCATTAAGAAATTAGATGGTTTGAAGTGCTTTCTTTTTCATAAGAGAAATATCAGCTGAAGAATTATGACAGCATGTTGATGTCTTAATAGATTGAGTGATTCAACCAAACCATGGCTATGATGCATAGAAAACGCTGAAAGATGCCATAGGCAGAGAATGGAGGTTTAAATTCTAGCATACTCTGTTGTTACAAAAACAATGCAGACATACATTTTTCTGTAGAGCTGCTGCACTGCTAGTTCTATCATTTGGAGAATGGGGCAATGAACTATCATCCCCTTGTTCTCTCAAAAGACGATTTTGCTTTAGTGTTTCATTCATTGCCCGTACAGCCCTACAGAGATAAAATCATGAGTTATCACTGTATTAAAACAAAACAGCAGACATACTATAAATTACATATTAATTAAAATAACAGATGATTATGCACTATGACAATTGAAAATAAAGGATCATTGATTCACTTGACCAAAGTACAAATATATTCATGCATCCGTTGCATCACAATGCAGTAACTATTTACAATAGTCAAGCAATTAAAGGATCATTAATTTACTAGACCAAAGTACAAATATAATTATGCATTCGTTGCATCACAATGCAGTAACTATTTACAATAGCCAAGCATCTAGCAATCTATCAAATTACCAAGTTGTGAGTAATTAGCAGAAACATGGTATGGGTAGGGGTACGTGATTATTAGTTTTGTATTATTACTACAAGACTTCCTTCAAAGATTACATAGTATGCAATATGTGGTACAGTGAATTTGATATGCAGTAAGCAAAGTTATTGAGAGAATCTAGTAATTATAGTTGAGTTATAACACAATCCAGGGTAAATTGATCAAGCAATCCTAATTGAAAAGTTAATATTTTGGAAAAAATAATTTACAACTCACTAGCTACCCAAATAATTCAAAAAAAAAAAGAATTATTAAAGATAAAGTTAATGATGAAATAGTACAAGGGTGAGTACAGATTAGCTTATCTTGTTATCAGGAAAAAAAATTCACAATGTTCAAGACAGATATCGGCTGATTGTTTTTAGCATAAAGCAATCAACACCAAACAAGCCATATAAACAAGTTAGCATTTATCAGCACCAAGGACAGCATGCTTGGCATATAAACATCGAAAAGTGCAATAAAGCAACAACCTCGCAATATCATCACCAATCTCTGGTGTAATGCTGATACTTCTTCTTCGAATCCTACGAGCTTCTGATGAAGATGCACCATCTGACTTATAGCTGGATCTGAAAAATGAAAAAAATTCATCTGTTTAAAAATGTGACAAAAAATTCTCTCATGAAGGTACATATTGACATACAATGGCTATAACAAACATATTGCCCACACCATCAAATTTACAAGTAGAAAAGGAAAAAGTCTATAAGGCTGTGTTTGAGAGTTAGTTTTTTTTTTTTGGGAGGGGAGGGAGGGGGAAGGAAGGAATGAGAAGACTTATGTGATGATTATCCATGTTTGGAATATTTTAGCCCTCCAAAACCCTCATTCCTCCCTTACCTTTCAAACATTTTTGTTCCCTCTCTTTCCAAACTCTCAAACAAAGCCTTAGTAACTAGTCCACAGCACCACCTAGAGTGACAATAGTATATCATTTACTTAGTTACTTAGTTTTAGGGCTGGCAGTTTAAAGTGACAGCTTTTCAGATGAAATCCAAACAACCAACATTATTATTTTTATCAAACTTGAACTGACGCTGAATGTGAGATTATTAAAGATTTGGCAACCAACAAAATTTCAATATGTAAATGCAACATCATTAAGTGTAGAACCCATAAAAGTTAAAGACATGCTCTGATAAAATGTCTCATACGTATGATAAATAAAAAGTGAAAAACATGATGGAATAACCCAACATTGGATAGAAATAAATTGAAGAGTTAAGAAGCAATTAGTTTTCATTCACTAAATGACCACCCGGTATAAAAAATGTAACTGAAAAATAAACTAGCCAGCACCCAATTACAGAGTAGGAGTAAATATTAAGGGATCATAAAGGTACAAACCTGGATGTAGACTGGTCATCAGCAAAATCTCTAAATGCAGTCCTACCACCACTAAGCTTGGACCGTCCACGTGCTCCAAATGATGGATGTTCTGGACTGCAAAACCAGAAATATTTGAAACACAAAAAGAAGACAATAAATGTTTAATATTCTAAGGAGTTTAGGTATTTACAAGTTGGAGATCATTTTGATAATGTTGCCACGGGCTAAAAAATTAATAATACACATTACACACACCAATTAGAAAGAACAGAATTGGCATTGTCTTATCATCAACAGAGAAATCATCTTTTACCAACAAAAGCATGCTTGATACAAGAACATATATAGATGATATACAGGCACATGCAAATGTGCATCTAATTGGAAGACTTGATATTTGACACTTTAAACCATGAATAATTTCTACCCAAATGTGGATTTATCCAATCCAACCATTAGATGATCAGAGATTAGTAAGTTAATTAGATATGGTGAATTTTAGATAAACATGGTGTTAATAAACAAAATTAAACAGATAAATAAATACAATATGAATATATTTTATCTACAGCCTCAGTCTAATTCCAACAATTTGTGTGAGATCTATTAGTCAGCAGATTAAAAAGGCCTAATATCACATACAAAAGCTTCAGCATACATGCTAAAATTAGCATATTCTCCCTTAGAAATAAAAATGTAAAACAGAATTGTTGATGCAAATGAAATTTCATCATAAGTTTCACAATTGCAATTTCGGACAGAAGCTATTATTAGTATTGTCATCTAAAGCCAGATCCTAAACATCTTAGTCCAAAAATACACACACTACTTTCAAAAAGTCAGAATAGTAGTCTGCAATCAACCTAGACTATAATGACCAAACATCCACCTTGTGAAGCCAAGAAGATTTCTCA